GGGGGGGGGGGGGGATGCAAAAGGGGGGGGGTGAAAACCCCCCGATCAGCCGCTGCAGAGGGACAGTGTTGGGGCAGAGCTGGCCCTGCCATCGGCGTCCCCAGAGATGGGAGTTTCGGATTGGGGTGTTGCTGAGGATAACCTCCCCGGTGAGAAGCAAGGATGAAACTTAATGGGAAGCCGGTCTGGTGTGTGTGTGCGCTGAGTCTCTACTGGGGGAGAAAATGATCCCATCAGCCTTCCAGTTATTTTCCAATGAAACATGGTAATTCATTGCAGACATCCCAGAATTTATCACTGCTTGACAGCTCAAGAAATCCAGGGTTGCCCTGAGCCTCCTCTGCCTCGGCCAGCACAGACCGAGTCACCCTGGGTTCGGTTCACACATGGCGGGCACCTTCCAGATCCCACCGAGAGACCCGGGGAAGGGGCTGGGAGACGAGCACTCGCCGGCAGGACCTCAGGGATGAGGGAGAAAGGCTTTTGCATGCTGAGTGACCCAAGCTGACGGTCAGGAGGCACAGAAACCTCCCCGGCACCCAGCCAGGACCTGGGTGAGATGCAAAGTGCTGGTGGAGCGGAGCAGCCCCAGGCAGGCTCCCACCCGTCCCCTCGAGCCGGCGCCCGCGTGCCTCCCCTCGCCGGTGCTTTGCTGTGCGTGTTTGGAGAGGGGCGGTTTTATTTCGTTATTGCCCAGATGCTGATTTGGCTCAGGAACAAATGGGCTGACCTGGCTCCCAGGTCCACCCGCGTTTTGAGGGGATCCACGCCCCAGGCTCTGCTTTCGAAGCACCAGCACTGCTAAGTCCTGGCACTTTCGTAGCCTCCTGCGGGCAGGCAATGCCAGGCAGGTCCTGGCCATGGTGGTGATGGCCATTCTGCCAAGACCTTTGTGCTCTCCCCCTGCTCCTCTCCTTGTAGCTCCTGCCGGGGAGTGCATGGCCACGGGCTCCTCCTTCCCTCAGCATCTCTCTTGTGGTACCCTCAGACCCCCTCAGATCCCCACTGGCTTATCTATGGTGACATCTACGTCACCTGTCCAAGGGTACCCAAGTGCCTGGCTGCCATCTTCTCCGTTGCAGCGAAGGACAAAGAGACCGGAGGCAAGGTTATATTTGCGGAACATCCCCCAAAACCAGCCTCCTGGGGGCAAACTGCCTGTGCCGGTGTTGGATGGGGTGAACTGAATGCCCACCAAGCCCCTGAGTGCTGTACCGGCACACGCACCTCCATCACTCAGATTACTGCTGGAAAACCAAACAGATTGCTTCCGCACAGCCAAAAACCCCGTGGACTGGCACGAATTCCCTGCTAGGGCTCTGCACACGTTAAGGTTCCCCATGGCAGGACCCTGCTATG